CTACCCACATTGCCAGTTCACTTTACTAGAATACTTTCATTGAGTTCGTCGTTATGGTAGGCTGCGGGCCCGCGCGCGCCCGAGGGCAACGCCGGTGCGCAAGCTGGAAGTCTTCCCGAAATGAACTGTGAAGAAGCCCGGTTTGGATACACCTGGGAATTTCGGCCTCTGGGGGCGCTGGTCGTTCAATGTCAACTTTTTCATGTTATTTCTACCAGAAGCCGGCGCATGCCCCCGCGGGTGGCCGGGGACGGGCAGGCCTGGTGTAAGACGGCATCAACGCATTACCAACAACGATTGATCATCATACCAGACAATGGACGCCGGCTGAATCTAAGTCACAGGCCTGTGGCCAGGAGCAGAATCTGCAGTCAGCCGTGCCTATGCAAGCACCCAAGCTCAAAACCTAAATCGGCCACATGAAGATCCACGAAGTGAAGCAATTCAAATGGAAAGATGGTTGCCTAAGACATTCCACTCAAGCCAGATCTGAATAACCATCAGAACTCCATGCAAGCAGGATCCTGCGGCGCACCACATTCGTTATCTTTAAGAAGGGTTGAGGCACTCATAAGGCCGAGTACAACAGAGACGCTAAGACGATATTCGAACAACTCTCTTGAAGCTTCAAAGCGTGTGGTTGACAAGACTTGGTGTTTGACCAGTCAGCAGCGCAGCTAAGCCATTGGCCCAAAACGCCAATGCGCTGGGCGAGGCCTGGAGAGGCGACGGGTAAGGCTGACCTTCGGCAGCTACATCACAAGACCTTCAGATGGCTAGCTGGCTGTAGGCACGCTTCGTGAAAACTCGCTCTGTCACCTCTGCCTGTATACGCCTCTAAATGAACTGCAATTTGTATTTTGTTTTGATTTAAATTGACTGCCGACATTTATTGGTAATTGTATTTACTTTGATTTACAAAATTTTAGACTTGACTAAAAACTCCTACTTAGTCTTAGTAACGTTAAGAATTTTCCCGGAAATCAATACTAACCAAGTGGCTGGGGCATAACTTAAGGAAATCACGTTATCAACTTTCCACCACCTTTCTTCCACAATTTCATCCTAGGTTGCGCATAGGCCATAGGCATAGATGCCCTATCTAACTGACATCACTTACATCAAATTGAATATACGGGACTGAACACAGCGATGCTACGTAAGTTTTGTCCAGATATAGTTAAAAACTGGTTGCCAAACACTCAAACAAACTGCAGTAATGCTCTCAAACTATATCATCATATTTTGCTACAAAACGATAGGATTTCACTTACCTAATACGATTTTCTACGTGATATTTATCGTCACAGCGAGTCGCATGGAGGCTGCCATTTTCACCATCGGAGGGCTATGATTGGTCTGTTCCTCTGAAGCAAAGAGTAATGGAGAGCAATGATTAGTCTGTTCCTCTGAAGCAAAGAGGAACGGAGAGCAATGATTGCTCGTTAAAAAACCATGTACTTGGAGGTGCAGTTGCCTGGGAATGGGCCATGACCCCCCTGGGTACTAGTCTGAGGTCGTTGAAAAGCTCGATCACCACCGCCTTCGTGGTGATCAGGACACCGGCCCTCTGCGGCCAGAGTGTGAAAGTGTCGTCTGCTTGTGTGCTGGTGTGTCCTAAATCTAGACCGTTTCATGTTTGTTTTTGTTGTTTATTCGTTATGTTTTGTGCGTGTCTATTTTGGTTTAGTTTTCATTTTAAAACGATCAAGTTGAAGATAAAAGTAACAGAGATATAATGTATCCTTTTCACACACAATGATATCATAATGAAAGTTTCAATACATTGAAACATTAAAAAACAAGTTTATACAAAATAAATGTATTTACTCTGTCAGTTATTTCTGCAACCCAACGATTGCAAAAAAAGAAAAGGAAAGAGTTGTTTTGTAAATACTGGATAGCACAATAGTGTATAAATCCCTGTCAGTCATTGCAACTTAAGAACGGCAGTGGCGTGGAAGACCGAACATGTTCAGTCTTTGCTAAAAACCAGCTTGTCGCTTTAAGATTATCATTTAGTGCTTCAAAAAAATGAAAACCTAGTGATATCACCTCCAAAGACTACTGTGCTAGAATTGTGGTGGTATACCACCATATAGGCAAATTCATAGATATCTTGGTAGTGAATGCATGATTTGCATTATTTTTGCATTCTTGGTTGTTTTTTCTTACATATGAACATAATTACACAGGTCAGGCAGCTCAGATTTATAATTTTTTAAATCGGTCAACCACAATGTTAAACAGTGGCTTTAACTGTTCATTTGCACCAGGATATTCTCACTTTGAATGATAACTTTTGCTTCTTGGATCTTGGTCAATGCCGAGGGTAAAAAAATTTGATATAAAAAAAGATGAGTGAAGGCCTACCTGCCATTTCTAAGAGGTCCTTGTCATCAATGAACTCAGACGGCTCTTCCTCCTTTGACACCTCAGGCTCAGATGGCTTTTCCGCCTTCGATGGCTCTAATTACTTCTTTTGTTTCTGTAAAAAAAGATATTACAACAAAATTAGAAACAAGTAGCAAACACCATTGATTACCCCCCCAAAAGGCATAATAATAATAACAAAAAGACGGAATGCATTCAATGCAATAGAAATTAATACTGCTTACTGTAATTTCAACATCATACACTGGTACCTTTTTGGACGACAATGTCAATGAATGGGATTTATGTACATTTTTGTATACAGTTTTGTTAAACTGATTAACCTTCCTAAAAATAACTTTTCTCATATTAAAAAAAACTCACCTTCAGAACACAGTGGACATGGCACATCACTTCTGGAAATTGGCTGGCATAGTCCCATAAAGTTTGCTTCAGCCACAGCATCAGTGGGTTGCACTCCTTCTGTGTGGCATGTTGAACGAGCAGCCACTTCAGCCATCCCACATCATTTTCCACTAGCCATCTGAAGGTCTTGTTGATGTACTTGCCGAAGGTCAGCCTTACCTCGCCTCTCCAGGCCTCACCAGCCTTGCTTTTGGCCATGGCTTCTGCTGTGACTGGGTCACACCAAGTCTTGTCAACCACCACCTTTTGAAGCTTCAAGAAGTTTTCATATCGAGAGGATGAGGTAGGAGGAGAAGAAGGGAGGGGAGGGGAGCGCAGTAGAGGAGGGGAAGTGAAGGACCTGACGCGGCAAAGGGGGAGTAAGGGAGGGAGAAGGGGAGGAGAGAGAGCGGACAGAGAGGTATGTATCAAGAGAGGAGGGGAGGGGGAAAGGAGGGGAAGGCGAGAGAGGAGGGAAGAAAGGAGGGAGAAATGGGAGGAGAAGAGAGCTGGCAAGAGAGGTACTGTAGAGAGAGGAGGAAGGGGGGAGAGGGGAACGGGGGAGGTAGAGAGGAGGAGAAGGAGGGAGAAGAGGAAGAGAAGAAGGCGGGGCAGAGAGGGTATGTAGAGAGAGGAGGGGAGGGGAGGGGAGAGGGAGAGAGAAGGGAGAGGGGAGAGAGAGAGGGAGGAGAAGAGTAGCGGGCAGAGAGGTAATGTAGAGAGAAGGATGGGAAGGGGAGGGGAGGGGAGGAGAAGAAGAGCGGCAGAAGAGGTATGTGGAGAGAGGAGGAAGAGAGGAAGAAAATAGAGGGGAAGAGAAGGAAAGAGACAGAGAGAGAGAGAGAGAGAAGAGGAGAGAAGCGCGAGAGAGAGAGAGAGAGATGAAAGAGCCAGAGGTGAGCCGAGCACCGCTAGAGAAGAGAGAGCAGAGAGTAGAGCGCAGAGACGAGAGAGAGAGAGAAAAGATAAATATATATATAGATATAATATATTATATTATATATATATATATAATTAGTAGTGTATAGTAAGTCAGTAGTAGAGTAGTAGTAGTAGTAGTAGTAGTAAGTAGTAGTAGTACTAGGACTAGCATTAATATTTGATAAACGGGAAATAACGCGTAGTCAGAGTTATATAGTGGTCACAGTGTCTGTTGCTGCGCGATATTGTGATAAACAGTAATAATAATATACTGTAAGCGAGTAAGGGATAATAACATTGAAAATAAATCATAATCCCCAACACTTTGCAGAAATATACAAGCAAATGCATGGCATGGACACAGCCGTCTTGTGACTATTTAGAACAAGCGCCCCGCATACGAAACGAAATGTAACGTGAGGTGGCCGAAATGCAGATATAGGTTGTGCTGATTGGTACCATTCCCACGTACCCATAACGCCGTGTTGGCATCGGCGTTCCAAATGCGACAGTTACTGTCGCGCCACAATAAGAGCAACACAATCAAAGCCTCGAATAACATCTATGTAGGGGAATATGACCACGACGAAAAATTTGAAAGGTAACTGATGACCTGACGCGACACACACACAGCCACACACCCACACACAACACACACATACCACACACACACAGCACACACACACACACAGGCCACACCACACACACACCACACATCACACGCCGCGCACCACACACACACACAGCACACACATCACACACACACACGCGCCGCAGCGCACAGTACGCCACACACATGCCACATCATGCGCGCACACACGCACACACACACACACATACACACATACTACACACACACACACACACAAGACACAACCCACACCACACTGATCGGCACACACACACATCACACACACACACACACACACACACACACATACACCACCGTGCGCATAAAAGCGATGCCTCTATATAAAACGTGTATTTGCATAGCGTCTTCTATCTATCAATACATTTATTTGTAGCCAACAATCCTATTTGTTCAACTAAAACGCTCGCAAAAGGACGCTTTATGATACGGGGACATCAAATATGCGTAAACATTTATTATGAAAGTTGGAATACCGTACTTGTTTGACTAGCGAATGCTATTTATTTTTGGGTCAACAATAATGCTGCGTCAACAAGTAAATTGATCTGCAAGTTGGAGAAGTGTATTCCGCGTATATCCTACATCTAGTAACGCGCTGCTCTTAATGTATTTCTTGTATACGTACACTACAGGGAAAAACAATCCAATCAATATCTAGTTGTAGCATTATTTAAATGTTATTGTTATAACTTATATACCCACCCACCCCGCCATACACTCACCGACACACACCGCGCATACACACGACACACACATAAGTAAGCATCTACAGGTATATAGTATGGCCTATCTACAGGTATAGTAGTGGACGCTATCTACAAGGCTATCGAATAGTTAGGCCTATCTACAGTATATAGTAGGCATCTACCAGGTAAGTACGTAGAACTATGCTACAGGTATAGATAGTAGGGCTACTACACAGGATATAGTAGGCTATCGTACAGGTAATATAGTCAGGCTATCTACAGGTATAGATATTAGGCTATCTACCAGGTATATAGGTAGACTATCTAATCCAGGTATAACAAACTAGTAGAGCATCGTAGGCATCTACAGGTATATAAGTAAGACCTACTGCAGGTATATTAGTAGACATCTAACAGGTATATAGTAGACATCCTACAGTATATAGTAGGCTATCTACAGGATCAGAGTAGACTATCTACAGGTATCGAAGTAAACATCTACATCGGGAAGGTAATAGTAGGCTATCTAAACAGTATATAGTCAGGCCTATCTACCAGTTATCAGCTGAAACCACCTAAATCGGCACATGAAGATACACCGAACGGTGAAAGCAATTCAACCAATGTGAAAGAATGCTAAAGAAACATTCACCTACTCAGCGCATCGCTGAATACCATCAGAAACCTCCATGACAAAGCAAGACTCCGCACCACACAAATTCGTTCATATTCACAGCAAAAAGGGAGGCAACTCATAAGCGCAAGTAAAGCAGCTAAAAG